TTTCATAATCATTCACAGGAGTGGCAGAATGTATTTGTCTGAGGAATACGTCAAAAGGAAAATTGTAAAAATATCATTATGTGTACATATAAATCTGAAAATGAAACATTCAAAATGAACAGCTTCAAGTTTCAAAAACGATTACAAGCTTTTCAAAATGTGCGTCATATTGCGCATAATTATTGAAAGTAGAGATAATTTCAATAAAGAAATATACACATGCATAGCGAGAATTTGAATAAAATTTGATTCATAATTTTCTACAGGCCAGAAAATATTCATCGGTATTATAGGGCTCTACGTTACATTTCAAGCGGAAATTTACGCTATTGAATTGTGTGAGGAGAGATTAATCCAACCTCACACACAAGTCAATAAAAATATTCTGCCAGTCAAGCGGCGTTGGTAGCTCTTGACTCCTACCGAGCAACGTCTAAATTTGTAGCAAATTGCCAAAAACGACTCTCCTCGATAGAAAGACTTAACAGATTATCTCTGGTATGAATTCCTGTCCATACTAGCCTGGAAGGCAATGAAGCTGCCGACTCCCTTGCAAAGGAGGGTGCTGCAAGCAACTTCATCGCCTTAGGCTTTGCCAAACAAACATTGAACACCTGGATGGCAAGAAGATTTATGGACTTCTAGCAGAATCTTCCACGACTGGCTCACTCCAAGGCGTTTATTCACCCTTCGAAGCTTAATACCAAACAGTTGTTGGACTACAGTAGGGATGAACTAAGAACAAACAGGCCTTCTTACAGGTCACTGTCATTTGAATCATCATATGCAGAGACTTGGACTGTCGGAAGACAGTATGTGTCGCCTCTATTTGGAAAATGATGAAACAGCAGAGCATATACTTTGTGCCTGCCTCGCACACTCACCACTCACCATACAACCTAATCGGCTTCGTTAAGAAGCAGGGTTTACTTGACCGAGTATGAATAGGTGTGAGCCAGGATAAACCCTTGCGGGTTGCGGAGGATCAAATAGACCCACTCACTTTAGACCTACCTACCTACTACATAAGATTACTCTAGGTTATATACAATATATTAATAATTTTGGTGAAATTCATTCTTCTCATCAAGGAAACTGTAATAGTCCCACAATCAAAAACAAAACTTGAATTTTTTAGTCCATTGCACCTCTTGTAAAATTAACCCTGGGACGCACTGTATATTTTATAGAACAAAAACAATTATTACGATATAGTTTTTTATTAGGCAGTATCGACTCCTAGGTCATTAGCTGCTACTCTTCAGCTGGGAACGTCGACTCTCAGTTATGTTTTATGGTAAAAGTCATTTAGTTAGGAATACTGTTTTCATTTAGTCTGAAAATATCTTTTTGGTATAGTTTTAACAGTCTATTTTTTAATGAAACATAAATTTGATAACTTTATCAAAGACTTAAAATAATAAGAATCTTTGAATACCCTTTTTACTATATGTTACTAAATAGTTATTTTTATTACCAGCTGATATCACTACACATTCACCTCGATACGCTGTATAGTGTCGTTAATTGTAGAAAAGTGGAATTTTGCAATGTGCTTCCTAAGACTTTCTGTATTTTTATATAACTGCGAGCAGATAACACATTTGAAAGGACCGACAAATTCTCCATGGATATTCTTTTCGTGCGTCCTGAGGTGATCACGTCTTGAAAACTTTTTCATACACTGCCCGCACTGGTATTGGTTCTTGTTGATTTGCTTTTCGGGTTTTCCTAAATTCAATAAAAAATTAGTAGTTTTGAATCAAAAGTGAAGCATTAAAAAAGCAATAGCTTACTTTCGGAAATCCAATTCTTAGCAGTTTCAGGCAATGAAATAACAACAATCAATGTTAACAGGTTATATTTCAAATAAACTACAAATACAGTACATATTTATGTTGTTTAGATATGTTAGAGATCACAATTCTGTATCCATTCATACAACAAATTGTTTATTATTAGTATCACAGGCAGTACAAATACAAACCGAATCTAGAGGTGACTTCAATTTATATAAATTGCAGAAGTAATGAACAATATTTGTCTATAATATATAAAGTTAAGAGATGCAAAGTGTTATCTTCAATATGTTTTCTAGATTAGTATATCTAATCTCCAGATATTCAAAAATCAGTTTTAATAAATGATGAATCATCACTGTTAGGTTGAAAATTTTCTAAATTATACAACAGGATAAAAATATTTGCAAAATACAGTCACTGTTTATAGTCCTGATGATCTCGAATTGCTTAGCAAAACGCGAGTTGAGAGACAGTATTTTTAAATTGAAAGGGGTATATTTTTAGTAGAGATTAATGTATCATGCTAGAAAATTTATATTTCAAAATACAACCTTGAAATATTCAACTCTCCCAACTGCCTACACCATACGTTCTGGTAAATGCCTGTCGGAAAACGATTACTTCCCCGGATTATACCTCGCTGGATATTGAACTATATCCGAGAGACATTTATGCAAAATACCTCATAGAGGTTAGTCTCGCAGATTATTTTGAAATTAGTTTCTTTGGAATGCTCCCATATTTTGTTTGTATAAAGATGGAGAAGTAGAAAGCCAAAAAAATTCTTTCCCAGAAATTATTCTCCCCTGAAAATATACTCCTTTCCATTTAATCAGGAATCATATGGATGGAATTAAATCAAATGAGTGAATGAATGTCATTACATACAGTCATTCATGAAATGAGTAGATTTAACTCATTCGTGACATAAGGTCATAAATTTAAGAATGAATTGAGCGCTTTATCATGTAATGTTATCCACATGAAGTCTGAAGAGGCAATTACGCAAGTTCTCATTCCGAAACATCGGATATCCGCCATTGAGGATGAGTGTTGTATGTAAGTGAAATTTTACCTCTTTCGTATACTATATTGTGTAGCAATCCTGTGAATGATATCTGATTCAATTCCATAACAAATGGTTGGAGTGCCAACTTTTTGTATAATTCAATGTTCATATAGAAGTATTTATTTCCAAAACAAAATATTTCGTGTAATTAATTGTTTGAATGAAATTAGCTGTTTCAAAAGGCTTTTTCTTCCAGTTCGTGACGGAAAGTTACTTCTTTGTACGATCTATACATCTTTAGAAGATTCCTTTTTATTATTAAAACCTTTTTTTCACAGTATTTTTGTTCTGGTGTAGAGAAAAAGTATTTTCAATAGACTCATTTCACACCAGAGGTTCTTCTTCTACCCATCAAGTATTTTCAATTTATATGTAATAATTACTTTGTAAATAGACAGTTTCTGAAAAAAAAAAGTATCGTCGGATGGTCTTAACTTATACACTAACACATTCAACAAAATCAAATAGGGCTATGTTTAAACAATATCTTATAGTGGATTTCTAATAACTGTCAACATATGTGTGAAAACCGTTTTCTATTGAAACGATACAATAACATTGAACCTGTATTGAATTCTTATAGTTATTGAAATACTTATGTACAAACTTCATAACAGGGAAATTCCCCCATCCTATAAATCTATATCTGAAATGTATCTGTTACTGTTACTTGGGGCACAAAATTACTTCAGAATATTTGAAAATCTTTCTTAGTGCGCACCTAACACCTGAGAGGTACCTATATACCAAATTTCAGCTTCTCAGGACTAACCAGTACGGAGAAACGGAGATGAATGAGTGAGTGAGTGACTTTCACATTTATAAGTATAGATTTTAGGATTCATCCCATTACCTCTATTAAACTGCAAATTTAAATCAATTCTTTTTTGGAACCGTTTATTTGTTGTTTTTGTGTTCTATGTTTTGAACTATTAGGTTGTTTCAAAAGTTTTGTTCATTTCAATGCCACGTGTTTTTTTCAACTCCACATCTCAATAAACATTCATTGTATTGTGTCGTAGGTATATACTGATCGATAGAGAATTTGATAGTCTATATGCGATTTTCTGCCAATTCTTCTCTACGAATTCAAATTGAACCAAAGCGCTGCCAATTAACCAGGCATTTGGCAATGATACTTTTAATGGACGCACTATTCTACGTTGGATTGCGAAATTTCTTTCCTGAGATTTAGGCCTCGAAGGTAAGCCCCGAAGTGGTCGAACTACTACAGTAATCCAGGACGAAGATCTGGTGACCCTGGTGGAGACACCCATCACAAACGGTGCGAGGAATGTCGTTTTATCTGAGCGTCAGCTCCCATGCGGTTTTTAATGGTTTAAAACGTATTGGAAAGGTCAGGAAGCTCAAAAAATGTGTGCCCCACGATTTGAATGATCAACAGAAATTGTTACGTTTCGAGGTCTGCTCTTCTCTGCTTTTGCGCAATCAAAACGATCCTTTTTTGGATCGGATCGTCATCGTGTGAAGAAAAGTGGAATCTTTACCATAACAGGTGGTGTTCAGGACAGTAGTTTTACACTGATGGGTACCCAGGCACTTCCCAAAGGCGAAAACCCACCAAAAAAAGACCAGGTTACTGTATGGTGGTCATCGGCTGGTGTAATTCGGTATAACTTCCTGCAACAGGGCCAGACCATTACAGCAGAATTCTGCTGTGAGGAAATCGACGAAATGTACCGAAAATTGCATCAGTAGCAGCCGGTACTGGTCAACAGAAGAAGTCCGGTCTTGCTCGACGACAACGCCCGTCCGCACTTTTCACAATCACTGTCCAAAAATCAAACGAATTGAGCGTCGAAGTTCTGTCTCATCCACTTTACTCCCCAGACCTCTCGATAATTGATTACTATCTTTTTAAGTACTTTCTCACCGGCAGAACTTTCGGCAATCAAGCCAGGCGAAAAAACGGCCTTCGTCGACTTCTTCGAATCCCGATCACGCAATTTTTCTATTGACGGAATTACACGAGTTGTATTACGTTGGTAAAAGTGCAATAATTCAAATGACGCTGACTTCTATTTAATCAAATAAGAATTCACTGAGATATTACAGTTTAAAGTAAACTTATAAAAACTGGCAAAACTTTTGAAACAACATAATAAAAGGTAATTTGTTGTATTTAATAGCACACATGCCTTATTTTCCAAAATTTGCAATACTTCTGAGATGGGAACATAATTAAATTGTAATGATACATTTTTTAAAATCAACTGGAAACCATGAGGTCTTCATTATTTCTTGTAAAACTTTCATGTCATAAATTGTTGCAAATGTATTCGATTATTTTACCCCAAACATTGAGAAAGTCGATCATTATATGGACCTTATGTTTACATATTCAATTGAACTTTGACCAGTGACACTAAAACCATGTTTACAGAGTTATCTTAATATTCTTCAAATGTTATCTGTGGAAATGTGACTATTATATTTTGCTAGTAATATTCGTATTTTGATATAATAAATTAGAAACCTTCCTTTTGTTTTTCATATCTTTTTTATATGTTTTATGAAAATATGTATGCCCACCCAGTCCCCTACGACTGTGAAGACTAGATTCAATTAAGTAGACGGTTCAATGACTAATGGTAATTTCGTAATGAAGCTCTTATGATCTGATTATAAGAGAAGACTGAAAATCCTTTAAAATGGTTCAATAATGAACCTTTTGAAAGATATGCCCTTGATAAAAAAAGGATACAGCTGGTTAATGGAAAAACAGATTTTAACAGAAAACAGTTCATAAGTAATATCTATAACAATAATATGGGATGTATTTGTTATAGTAAATTATCCTATTTTGTACAAACAAATAGGCAATGCATGCTATTCATCATTTTATTTATTTTGCTTCTGCAGTCTAGCTAGTCTGATTTGAAAGAAGTTTGCAACTAAAAATGCTGAAAGGCAGACACTGAAACTCTCAATGGTTTATTATGGGTGCTCAACCTATTTGGTGGGTGATCAACTTATTTGGTAGGTGATCTTTCTGGTTAGGCAATTTATCTTTGGTCTGATTGTCATTACATATATCCAATGTATTTGTTTGGGGGCCAAGCCCTAAATTTTTTCGCAAATCCTTCGATATGTCCACCAGGAAAGTATGACTCTATGTTAAACCTTTTTCAAATAACTGTACTGACTGAGTTTTTATCAAGAATAATACCTAGATATTTCATCTCCGCTGCAAATGGAATGACCTAACCGTTGAAGGAAAATGGAGGTAATCATCTTGATTCCTCTTCCTGGTGAGGACTATCACAGTTTTGCTAAGGTTTACAGATATCTGCTTCCTTTGACCCCAACTATGAACATCGTCAAGTATTTGTTGGAGGATATTACAGGCTATACTTCCAAACACTGCCTTTGCCAGGCTGACAAGGTCATCTGCATGATCTAGCAGATCTATTTCTCTTCTGTCAAGTAGATCAAGCAGACTATCCATCAGGAGTGACCACAGATGAAGAGATACTTCACTGCCCCGAGAGCAGCCACTGAATTGCAGTTTGTTTTGTTCATGTGCATTGCAGTGAGTTATAGTTGATTTAAAGCCTTTTTCAGCCAAGGCTGATCCGATAGATTTAGGCAGTGAGTCGTCAAATACTCTTTCGAAATCGGGAAATACAGCCACTGCAATCTCTTCATTGTTGAAGGATCAGATGATTTTCTCTACGAGGTTACGCAATGACAAATCCGTCGTTTTAATATTTTGATAAGCATACTGGTGGTTATTGGGGAGATAAGTATAAAGCGGCCATTTTGATATGTCCAGTATCCTCTCAAGTCCTATCAGTAGGAAAGATGTTAGGGGTTGTACCGATTTGAGATGTGGGTTTTTGCGGCACTCTCTAGGTATGTATATCACCGATCTCTGCTGCCAACCATGTGACAAGTAATTCCACGCCAGACTAGCGCTAGATAATTTTATGAGAATGGGTGAAAATATTTTCAGTCTTTTCCAAATGAATTATTTTGCACCCATTTTTAAGTTAAACATATTGATAAAACACTTTTAGAAAGGTGATATTATTTTAATAACCCACATATCCTAAAAGTTCAAAAACAACTTCACAAGTTGAGAAAATGCTTTTTGAGAGTAGTTTTGATCATACAGAGATTACAAAATTCAATTTGTAGTATAAAAATAATCTATGCTTATCAAATATTAGGTGAGGAATTGATACTTTCATTAGAAATAGTTAATTTTTTTATGAATGATGATAAGGTGCGTAGTCAAGCCAAGCTGTTTGTGACACAGATCACAGGAAAGTCGCTGAGTTGGTAAATACACGTCAAACATGTGCCTCCTGATGCTGCTTCATCTCATCTATATTCCGCAGGTTCGGCATTTAGCTGGAAAAGTTTTAGTAACTTCGAGATATACTTAACAATATTAGTAACTTGCTATCTCAAACTCTCTACTTACCATGCAAATGATTCATTGCAAAATTAAAAACGACACAAAAATCACAGCAAAACTTATGTAGCGCCAACGTCGAATATATGTACAATAGCAAAAATAAAAAAATGCAAATAAAAAATTGTTCGTTTCTATGTACAATAAGGTTAGGTATGAAGCAAAATATTCAAGCTACACTTAAATCTTTTCCTGAACGTTTTTTGTGAAAATTATTCAATAATGCCAACAATTGATCCAAAGCATAATGAAATCATCAATTTTTCATTATATAAGGTGTTACAACTGTTTATTAGAAGTGTAATCATTAGGAAATCTAATGATTAAATAGATATCCTGTCTAAACTTTAACTATCATATTTGGGTCATTTGCTCAAATGACAACTTATAATAATGATAATAATACATCTTTATGCACCATAACAAGTATAATTAAAATGACTAAAAGGAGAAAATCAAACTTTCAGTATAAATGTGAATAGCCTTGGCTGATGTCAAGGCTGTTTTTCAAATCAACGTGAATCTTCTGATTGATTCGGCCGTTACCTGAATCCTTATTTTCAGTCATCACAAGTCAAATATTTTGTATTTTTCATTTTATGATTTAGTTCACTGGCCTGAAAGGAAATTATTATGCCGCTGATTGAGATCAGAGTATTAGTTAAATTTTTAATTGCCAAAGAAGTTCAATGGGTTTCATTACGAAGACGTATTGGCCTCGCTGACATCAAACGTTCAGTGATTTACAGAAAAACTAATAACTATCGCTAAACAAGATGAAAATTACCATTTTCACTGATGCAGAAAAACTTTTTCATAAAATAAGATATAGGAAATATTTCCAAGTTTACGAAGGAAAACTTTCAAAAATGCAAACATTGTTTGAATTACTTTAGGTTTTGAAATTTGACTTGAAAATGGTCTTTATTGTTTCCAAAAAAAAGGTACATATTTCTCATAATTTTTATCTAGAAATAAAATATTGGAAATAAAAGGCGAAATTCAATTTATTCAGCGAGAGTATCACTGATGACTTGTTCTACCAGCCAAATGTCTACTAGCCAACTGTCACATCCATGCTCAATCCCTAAAGAGATGGGATGGAGTCAAAGGATGCAGTCTTGGCCAGGATCACCCTGGGAAGCTGGCACCGAAGAAATATCTGGGGATGACCAGGAAAAACCTACGCTTTACAGTAGGATTTCTGACTGGCCTTTGTCAACTAAAGAAATACCTCCATGTTATGGGGCTAGTGGACACACCTCTATGCATGATGTGTGAACAGGAAGATGAAACTGTCAGACATGTCTTATGGGAGTGTCCGGAGTTATCGTCAATAAGAGAGTGTGTGTTCGGTGAGTCATGGCCTACACCTACCGATAGTGACCTGTCCACCTTCCTGGAATGGACAGGATGGACGATGACCTAGGAGGACAACTCCTCGGGAGGATGTGCAATGGATCACATGTGGGTCTACACTCACCCTCCCTACTCAACAGATACAGAACACATGGATCCAAACTATCTCGGTATCTTATATTTGACCATATCCTTCTTGAGAGTGAAATTTTGACAAAAATGTTACAGGAAATTATATATTCTATGAAATTTTCGGAAATATAATATCTCAACAACTTATTTCTTTCAGAAATAAACACTAGACATATATATTTAGATCCCATATCCTATAAATAATTTCAAAGCACAGTTCCATCTTTGAAAAATTACAGCTGAAAAAAGTAGTAATTTTATTATAATAAAGTAATGAAACTAGACAATAATTTCAAGTACTTTACAATGGAAGAATTGAATTAAACTAAAAATAATATATTTATATATATTTTGAACATTGACCTACTTTGCACATTTGTCGTATACAGAGATGTATACTTCTGTTTTGCTTGTTATAAATGAACAAATATATGTAGGTATAGAGTATGGCAACTATTTCTTCCAAGACAGATATTTTTTGAGTTATTTTCTACTAGTTACTAACAAGTTACATAAAAATTAGTGATGCAGTTATATGTTTTTATCATAGTTGAGAAATAATAGGTACCATCTTCATTGAACAATTTCAATATCATTAAATTCTGAAAATATTCATCAAAATAGGGCAAATATACATTCTTTGTATTTCTAGAATCACATTTATTTTATGAAGTATATGAACAAAAATTGTACCCTTTACCCAATTATTGAATTGAAACATAAAAAACATATTTCATATTTAAATACTTCAGTACATTATATATGTAAACAAAACCTATTGAAAAATATTCACTTTAACTGTGTTTATTCAAGATATTCTAGTAGTAAATGCAAGGAATCATATTTCAAGAATGTCATCTTTATACTCAAAACATAAAAATTTAAGAGCATTCTCTCACTTTTTACAAGGCTTTGGTCAAAATTAAAATTTTTTGTAAACAACAAATACCATATTATTTATGTTCTTGGTGTCTTTGGCGTCGATAGCCATATTAATTTCACAATTAAGCCTATATTTGTTGAATCACGAAGGAGAATTTTAGTACCACCCAATCCTCCTTCCAACCTTCAGAAAGTAAAGTAACTATTTTATATAAACGTTCAGGAAAAATTCAACTAATCAATCATGCAACTAGTGCCAATTAAAATTTACCTTGATCAGATGAGTTCATAAGATCTGTTGAAGCAGCAGCCCCAAAGGTGCTATCCCAAATTGATTTCATATTCATGTTGAGAGGTTCTTTGCAGTCGTCTGGTTCTGGAGTGATCTTAACTGAATTAGTATTTACATTGTCCGGTTTTGCTTCTTCACAGTTATTGATATTGTTTTTTTCATTCTTTGATTTAATTGGCTCACATTCCTGTTTAACGGATCTCACTTGATTCGATTGAGGCTGATGATTTTCTGACTGGATAAAAAATGATGGGGTAACAACAGTATTTATTAAAATAAAAATGGTTGCCGATGAATTGTACACTGTTTTATCGAATTAAAGGGTTGAAACTATGGGATAGTAATAATATGAAGTTGTATATCTTCCATCTCAGAATTCAAATCAGTACTTGGTAATGCAGGTACAGGATACAATATCATAACTGTAGAACTCACCTTAGGACGTTTGTTATTTATACTAGTGTTATTAGTATTTTTTGTTCTTTTGGGAACTGATGCCAAATTTGAGGCAGGAGAATAAATTGGCATTTCAACATCAGTTTCTATCAACTGATTATAAATTTCATTCTCTTCCTCATTATCACAATTTGTTTTATCTTTTGGAGATGAAGGTTCTTCACCCTAAAAATTAAAAGGGTTATTTTTCACACAAAATCAAACACAACTGAAACAAATATTCTAGAAGAAAATATTTTATACAAGGAAATTATTTAGGAATTGATCAAAACATTATATTTGTTTTTCTTTTTTCTATTTTGGCCTCGCAGCTGAAATTGCCAAAATTGTGAAAGGTATCATATCTCATTCATTAAAATTATGAACAAATATAGATTGTAACTATGTAAGTAATACTGAATCAAAAGTTTGGCCTAATGAAAACTGGCTGTGGAACAAAGTCACGGTAGATGTTTTTTGTGATAATATTCCTCAACAGTTACATTTTACAAGATAATTTACTTGATACTGATTTCTAATGATTTTCCCAAATCTACTTTATCATATAGTGACACTCCAGAAAATTAGGATATGATCCTGCCTATGAACATTTTTCAATGTTGTTTTGTTGTATTTGTTTGTCTTATTATTGAAAACCATGATGTAGCAAAGTCAGCGACTTTTTATTATCTGTGGGCTGTGGGATGGAGTCAAAGGATGCAGTCTTGGCCAGGATCACCCTGGGAAGCTAGCACCGAAGAAAAACCTACGCTTTACAGTAGGATTTCTGACTGGCCTTTGTCAAGTAAAGAAATACCTCCATGTTATGGGGCTAGTGAACACACCTCTATGCATGATGTGTGAACAGGAAGATGAAACTGTTAGGCATGTCTTATGGGAGTGTCCGGAGTTATCGTCAATAAGAGAGTGTGTATTCGGCGAATCGTGGCCTACACCTACCGATAGTGACCTGTCCACCTTCCTGGAATGGACACTCCAGAAAATTAGGATATGATCCTGCCTATGAACATTTTTCAATATTGTTTTGTTGTATTTGTTTGTCTTATTATTGAAAACCATGATGTATCCTGAAGTAGAAAATGATAAGCTGTCACTTGTAGGTTGTGCATGTGAAAATGTTGGAAAAATGGAAACAATAACCCAAGTTATAATTCTTTTTACTGTGTCCTAAGCGATGGATGAGTTATTTTGATGATATTTTTAAGGATTGATTTTGTTTGTTTTTTTCATTGCTTTTTGTGGTGATGCGTTTTTAAATGTGCATGTACTTCTGAATGTTATAAATAACTTTCGTTTCTTTTCAATGACAATGTCACTATGGAACATTTTTTTAACTGATTTATATTGTATCCTATCTTTAGTATTAACTACTATGTTTTTCAATAAGATTTTTGATCTTTCTAGTGATGAAATAATTTTAGTTTGTTTTCGAAAGTAAGCTACTTACTGAATCGTCTCCAGTCAGTCCTTTAACTTGCAACAGCTCAGCAGTCCTAAGAAACTGAGTCAAGTTTTCTCGAAGAACACTAACTTCCCCCCTGTACATAAATTCTAGGATATCTTTCATATTTTCATGACCAACGTCCTTCAATATCACGATGGGATGTTTACAAGGGTTAACTTTAAACATGTGCTTAAAATAGGGACTACATATAGAGAGAACAATTTTGTGAGCTTGCAAAAAATGTCCATCCACAGCCAACGTTACATCGACCAGTTCAGCGGCTTCAAGAAGTTCATGAAATCCAGAAGTTAAGTTGGAATGGAAATTATTCCAACGGAGAGAAAATTGTTCGGTTGTCATTGTTCTGAAAAAATCCGTAAAACGTTATCAATTCCAGGTTTCAAAGACGCCATCGCTGAAAATAACCTATAAATGAATTAGCTTACTCACCCTTTTTCTCGACTTTGATTTCTTGTGAATAATTTATAATCTATAAATAAATGAAATTCTTCGATGATTAACCACAAATTACTTTCAGGAGTTACATAACAAACTAAGGATTGTAAACATAACTTAGGAGGCAAGAAAACACGAGAGCAACCCTAATTAACCATTTCCGGACCAATCCGGGCATCCGGGATTCGTGATTGTTGATTGATGATACTAGTTTTTCGACAACTTTCGGCGATTCCCGAATCAGTCCGGAGATTCCCTGATTTTCGTTCGAGGCAGGACCGTCTCGCACATTTCTCGGTACTTGTTAATGGGGGTCTTTTACCGATTATACTTCAACGAAAATCAATCAGAAGATTTAATAAGAGGTTGACATGGAACAACTATATTATCATATTGCATCTAATGAACCTTATTATAGGAGCGTTTTGGCGCAGTAACAATCTGTAACAAAGAAAATATTTTTTGTTTCTTATGGATAATTTCAGAAACCATTTAAGTTGATTTTCTTTCACTGATTCTCCTGCATGTTATACAATGGTTTTTGTTTGTTTTTAATGACAATGCCGCAATGAGATTTTTTTCCGTTTTTTAATTGCATTATATACAGTGTAACACACTTAAGATGGAGACACCCAAGTATTTTAGTAATTTTCGAAAGCTGATATTTGATTTTTGGTACAGGCGTAGACCTACATGGGCCGCACTTTTCGCACTACTCAGTCCGAGTGCTACTTAGTCTGTAATTAAGTGAATCGAGTTCTCACTAAAGTTTCAACTGAATACTCCTTTCTTAGATTGATTGGTTCCAAAATTGGAGCCGAAACGTCGAACATTAAACTTNATATACACTGTGACACACTTAAGATGGAGACACCCAAGTATTTTAGTAATTTTCGAAAGCTGATATTTGATTTTTGGTACAGGCGTAGACCTACATGGGACGCACTTTTCGCACTACTCAGTCCGAGTGCTACTTAGTCTGTAATTAAGTGAATCGAGTTCTCACTAAAGTTTCAACTGAATACTCCTTTCTTAGATTGATTGGTTCCAAAATTGGAGCCGAAACGTCGAACATTAAACTTTAGACGCGATTCAACCCGAACCCAATGCCTATTGGGCATCGTCAGTTCAGGCAGGCGGTCCTCGATTGAAGACAAAATGTGACGTTATCCTTCTTGATTTTATTCAAGTTGAAGCCTGGCTCCCTTCCCCTTTTAACTGATGTAACAAAAATCAAAAACAGTACTTAATAAAAATAACTGCGTGAAAGCAAGCGGGGCATAAGTGGAACCACCTACCAAGTTAACTTGCCAAGTTTTTATGTAAGCGTTAGTGATTTGACCAATCAACTGACAACTGCATTGGCAGAAATTTGGGAAGCTTTCCTGGAATGTTATCGAAAAAAGAATCTACATGTTTCTAGAAAAGATAAAAGTTAAGAAAGGTTAATGCAGTCAAGCTGCTGGAAAATAATTCCATGAAATTCAAAAGATGAAGATGATTACTATTTTGATCATTTCCAATGTGGTTCCACTTATGTCTCGCTTGCTTTCACACTGTTATTTTTATAAAGTACTGTTCTTGATTTTTCACATTTTTTCTTCAATCGAGGACCGCCTGATGTCCGGTACTGATGATACTCAATAGTATGGTATAGCCAAGTGCAAGGCTACGTTGCAGGAAAAAGCACAAATGCAGTTTCCTGCAACCAAGTGTTGTATATACACGCCTGAAGAAGCTATTGCATAGCGAAACACGCGTTGCGTTTTTGTGAAACTGTTTAGTAAAAATCTCACAATGAAGTGCTTTTTGAATTTGTTTCACCAGAAGTATAGTTGACTTGATGTAAATGAGGAAAAGAACAAGACCAAGAATAGATCTTTGCAGGTTTTCCAAAACATTCTCTTGCAATACTGCATAATTATATTTACCTTATAAATATGAACCCGTTAGTGAAATAAATAAGTTGATCATGAGAGATTAAAGAAATATATCTCAGTTCAAGTACTATTGTAGCATATTCGAAATTTCGCTTCAGATGATATTTTACAGAGTTAGTCAGGAGAAGAAGATACGATTGTGATTCATCAAGTTGACGTACATACTCGAAGCTTGAATTTATTCATTATTACATCTGGGTGAACATAAATTATAGTATATACACGATATGTGATATTTACTCCTATAAAAATATTTTATGACTAAAAATCATTTACTGCTCCATTCAGAAAAACTTCGTCGAGTCATGGAGGAGAGATCATCAGGAGTTACCACATCTCTTCTCTTATTGATGACCTTTTTCAGTAGGTCTGCAACGCTTGAACTCAATAAAGCGTTGATGCAACTTGCGCTAGACGATTGAACCGTTGATTTTAATAGTTCTTTTTGATTGATCAAATCTTGAGAGGATATGTTGTTAGGAGATCTGTCTTTGGATAATTTCTTCAGATCCTCTTTCAGCAACTCAATCCCATTCTCGTCTCTTAGGGAGGAATTCTGAAATGAAAACATAATTATAAACCTACATTTGTGGAAGAAATGTACAGATGCTACTGCGCCCCAGGAAAGGATCCCATACTGTAAACGTGACTCAATCAGTGCATGATAAAGTATGTTCAGGTGAGTTATATCTAGATAGAATTTTCTTCAGGTATTTGGATTTGAATAATAAGAGTCTGATAGTTTTCGTTACTTGGTTCTTGTGGTAATTCCATCGCATGTGTGAGTCGAGGGTTACTCCAACATACCTGATTTAATTTTTTGTTTGTATCACCTGAGTGTTGTTTGTCATTTGCAGGGTTTGAAAATTTGGAAGATGGCACTTGTAGCTTGTGAAAGGAATGAAATGAGTTTTGTCGTAATTTATAGTCAGTTTTTTATGTTCAAACCATGTCTTTACATTACATGTAATGCTTCTTAATCTACAAGAACTGTTGAAAATGACTACCCCCCCACCGCTCGGATACAAGAATCCAATCTCATTCTCATCGACTCCCTAACTCTTTCGAAAACACCAGGATCGTTTCTGATTGCGCTACACCCAGCAATTATCCGATTTCTCAAATATTCCACATCTTCCACTCTAGTAGTATAAACTAATGACTTTGTTAGCCCCATGGAAATAATCCAGGCTGTTTGGTCCTGTTGCAGAAAGTTATAGTGAATCAGCTACTGACCACCATACAGTAACCATGGTCTTTTTTGGTGGGTTTTCGCCTTTGTGTCTGGGTGGCACTTCCCAAAAGCGGTGTTCAACCACTGTCCTGAACGTCTCCTGTTATCATAGAGGCTCCAATTTTCATCACACGTAACGATCCGATCCAAAAAAAGATCGTTTTGGTTGCGAAAAAGCAAAGAAGAACAGACACTTTTTGTCTATCGTTCAAACCGTGGGACACCCACATTTCGAACTTTTTGACCTTTTCAAAACGTTGTAAACAATCAAAAACCACATGGGAGCTGACTCCCAATTCTTTCGCCATCCCACGCACCATTTGTGATGTCAAGTACCACCAGGATTCTCAAATCCTCGTCCTGGATAACTGTAGGACAACCACTTCGGGGCTCATCTTCGAGGCTAAAATCTCCGGAACGAAATTTCGAAAACCAAAATCGAACAGTGCGTTTATTACCACTATTATTGCCAAATGACTGTTTCGGCAGCGGTTTGGTTCAATTTGAATTCGTAGAGCAAAATTGGCGAAAAATCGCCTAACGACATCATTCAGTTAAAAGCTGGAGAGGCGAAAAACTGAAACTTGGAAAAAAAATTAACAGCATCAATGTATAGAGTAAAAAATTCTCTATCGGCCAGTTCATACCAGGACACAATAGAATGAATATTTATCGCAATATGAAGCTACAAAAACACATGACATTGAAATGGACACAACTTTTGAAACAACCTGATGTTAGCCTATATAAGGTGTTTCAAGTTCAATCCTCACTATTGGAATCTCGGAAACTATGAGAGATACGAAGATGGTTAAATTGGGGCAAAGTTGCGCATTTACCTGACTAACAATATGCCGTTGAGAAAGTTATAAAATTACGAGTATATCCGAGGCAATGACTTTGACAGAACATTATTTTGTTAGAATAGACAAAGAAAGTAGATAAACAAGGTTGAATGTTTATTTTTATTAAAAATCTCATGAAACGGATAGATGAATGTATTATAGTCCACAAAAGTAAATTTTTTAGCATTTACAGATTAGTGCTTAAAAATCTATGTTATTTGAAGAGGAACCCTTCTAGATTTCAGATGGGAAAAATCGTTAATCACGTATGCAAAATCTATCCTTTTTTCACATCAGATTCTATCGACATCAGCGACAAACTGGTTAATCTCTCTTGAAGCATTGTACTTCTTAATTCATTTTTAATTCTTTTTTATTTGGAGAAGGAGCGTTCTCCATTGCAGTTAGTTACCATCATGCTTAATTCTCAATGCGATTTCTACATTTGAAAATGTGTCTTCAATTCTTTAAAAGTTGATATATTTTTAATGTACAATCCCCATTTTCACTGTCAACAATTTTAAAGTATTCTGTTAAATGCAAACATTCTATTCCTAACCCATTCTCATTATCATCTTCATAATAAAATTCAGCAAATTCTTTGCAACTTTGTCTCAACTCTTCAGAATTCAGAGTTTTCAAGCGAAAAAATAAATCAAAACGTTTACTGATATTCTTATACGAACTTAATCGCTGTTTTAAATGAACGCTGAAGGTATCAATTATGGGAAGAAAGGTTTCTATTTTCAATTTCTCTCTTCCATTCAGTTGGACTGACAGCGCAGACCCATCATAAACACTCTGGCGACAACTTCTGTGTTTTGTTCTTTGAGATAGGCCCTTGTAGTCAGATTCCGGGTTTTTTTCTTCGGCAGATTTCTTCGGCAGACGAAGTAATCAGATTTATCCCTGAGGTTAATAATAAAATCATCAAGTGAAGTAAACATATCAGTTGCAACGTCTAGTGTTATTGTTTCTTTCTGAAGATAATTATTTATTTTGTCTATTCTTTCCAATATACAGTTCCAAATTTCCGTTAGTATAATATATTCGAGTTTTTACATTTTTATGAACAGACTAAGGGCTTCGTCTTTAGTTTCTCGTGCCTGTTCTGTATGTTTTTCGATGGATATCAAAGCTTCTATAACTTGTTCATTACCTTCATGCAAGGCGCTTACTGCATCTGCTCGGGCTGACCATCTGGTTTGTGAAAGACTGTTAACAACTTTTTTTGAACCTTAATGTTCTGTCAATATATTCCATTGACGAGTAGAGCCCGAAAAACAGTTGTACACTTTCTGAAACATTTCGAACAACTTTGTTGCCTCTGATACACACCCAGCAGCATGTTCACATACTAATTCAAACTTGGAGCTTCATACTTCGCTTCGTTCGCTCAATTTGAATGGAGCTAGTCACACTGATGAGTGTACTACTGATGATTTTTCTTTAAAATGTGTATGTGCTTAGTATACCATTATATATTCGAATTTATCTAAGCATGATGAAGTCGGAAACCCTAATTTTTGGGCGAGAGTAGAATAGCTTCGCGCATGTAAAAGCTAGTAAGTTGGTATTGTAGTCAGTAATTTAGGTTCAATTTCTTCAAATTATATAAGTTTTTTGGTATCTTTTGAATATTGGTCATCGTTTGGTGATATGTCAGGAACTAGGGATTTTGTATTTGATCTGAGGGGGGCCCCTATCGATCGCGGGGCCCAGGGCACTTGCTCAAATGGCCCACTGGAAAAGAGGGGTCTGGTATTTACACTTTCATCCCGAAAGACGACGACAACATCGAACTATGTTCAAGTTATTGGATCAAAATCTCACCGAGTTTGGTTCGCTTGAAAAGCCAATGAAAAAATACGGAGACAGAATCCACAATCAAAATTTGATAAATGAGGTGTGTATGAGGTATATCAGATATTGTGTTCTTTTCAATGAAAATAGAACTTTGAACAATAATTAACAAAAATGTAAAGACAAAAGTAAATCACAACAAATGCTCAAAATGCTGGCCTTGTTCATGATAACACAACTGTGCCCTTCTTCGAATATTATTCACTGCACGATTAATTTCCCTCCTCCTCAATCTTCCGAACTCTCTAACAATGTTGTATTGAAGGTCCTCAATATTTTGATATTCCCTCTGATCATAAACTCAATTTTTCAGTGTACCCCATAAGAATGTACCCATAACACTTCTGGCCACCTCACCGGCCCATTATTCCCTATCCATTTATCACCAAACCTTTCAGTCAGGTAATTAGATACTCGTCTGGTAGTGTGCGCTTGAACACACTACCACACAATATCTAACTCACCACATACATACCTCATTAATCAAATTTTCTTTCAGTTTCCTGTCTCCATATTTTTTCCTCGGCTTTTCAAATGAACCAAACTCAGTGAGATTTTGATTCAATAACAATAAGCCATTTTTCTCAAAAAATTTCATGACTTGTACAATTACAAAATGATGTATCTCTCGATTCCCATTCCATTGAAAAAAATAGGGGGGGTAGTTGCTGACCGCAGGGGGGTGAAGTTTCGGGTATGATTTCCATATCAGAATTAGTCCCTCTAGAAAAAAAATTGACGTGTTCTTTGAAGTTTTCGATTACACGTCCATTTTTGACTTACAGGGGTGGCAAGTTTTTGTTGGAACGCCCTGTATTAGAAAGATAACTTCCAAACTATCTCTTATAGCACTTAAGTCGTAGTATTCAAGCTTGTTCAGAAGTATAGCATAGGGAATGCAATCAAAAGCCTTAGAATGTTGACAAAAATGACCACGAATTGCTTATTATTTTCAACAACTCTGTTAACATGTTCTATCAAGGTAAATGTTCCGTCAATTGTATTTCCTTGAAATTCAAATTGCGAATCTGCTAGAATTTCCGTTTTATCAAGTAATTGCTGATTAACAATCCATTCTAGAAGTTTTGATAAACAGTGTGACAATGGAAGTTCTGAAAGCATTTGGAAATATTCAAGTGGACAGAAATTTGGTTAATAAGAAAGTTAAACTGGAATAACTTGTAGAGATATAATTTGCCCCTCTTGCTATTTGAAATTGTAACTTAGCTTCTGTTGAGTGTTTGTAACTAATCAGTTGCTTATACATTGGCTCCCCCTTGATACCGAAATCATCGGGTCTGAGAAAAAAATTATTTCAATAAATCATTTTGTGTTACATTTTTAAAAAAATGTATGACAACTAAAGAGATGACAATTTATTGACAAAGTGGTCTAATTGACGTTGACTTTCTTATATGAAGTTTTCATTGAGACCTACCTGACGAGAAAAAATTTGGGTATTGACCGAATTTTCGTTATTCGAATTATCTAATTCTTGATCGTTCCTTGTGAGAGCCTTCTGTAATATTTCTGTTATTTTCTTCGAATGATTGATGATCTCATGAACTTCATTAAAACTGAGTGATATGTATTCTCCGGAATTTCCATCGCTGATATCTTTTTGGGTACTTCCGCTGCTCCTCGCGTCTGAATTATCATCTCCCTAAAATCTGAGATTGCAAAAATTTTGACGATTCAAACGAATATTATTACCACTTTTTCGACGACGCTTCGGTAAGAACCGGACAAATACGGATTCCTAGCGCTATTATAGTTCAACCAAAAGTTGTTCCATTCGCCCACTTTGTTATCAAAATCGTTGGACAGAGTTTCGGAACAGACACTCTCAAAAAATTCGCTATTCACAGTTTCTATCCAACTCAGATAACTAGAAGCTGGACTCTGGATGGTCTTTTCTTCTTTCACATCAGTAGTGCTTCTTGTGGCATAGTCGGTTTGATCGGAGGAGAAAGATTCCAAAGAGGAACTGTATTTGCTGTTCCTGCTGAGCGAGAAAGTTGGCGAGAAAGATCTCTTTGTCTTGTGTTCAGATATGGATTCCAAACTTCGTCTATAATGAAAATGAGATATTATACAATATATACAATTTCATTGTTTAACAAATTTGATAAAAATTATATATATTCATAATATCCTGTGTCTATAGTTATTCTAGAAATCATAGTTGTCATTACCTGTCATATCATTGTGTCATGTTGTGTTTTGTTGATTGAAGCCAATTTCGAGTTTAATCTATCCATCATTTAACAATTTAATCAACGAAATAGGACTTCAGTTATGGAAAATAATGAAAGATATCTTTCTCCGGATCGTTTTGAAGTAAATCCAACTTCAAGTTCAGCAAATCGGAAATGGATTGATTTGAAGCAAACCTTTGAGAATTCTCTTGAGGTTCAGAATGAAACCTCAGATGGAATGAAGTAGAAATTATTATTAAAACACATATCTCCTGATATTTTCAGAATAATCAGTGAGTACAAAGACTTCAAATCACCTCTTGGTGCACTTGACAAATTCTTTATCAAACCCAAGAACGAAATTTTCACCCGTCATCGTCTTGCTTCATGATTTCAGAAGGCTGAAGAAACAATCGATGAATATCTTCAAGCACTGAAACAATTGTCAAAAGAATGCAACTTTAAATATCTGTGACAACAGAACAAACTTAAAATGTATTCAGCCAGTGCGGCGAATAGCTGCCAAACTACAACGTACAAGCTACGCCAAGATACGACGTATCCATCACACTTTAAGTCAGGGCGTGCTGCTGACCACCAAACAGCACTGCCTTGATAGGATATGAATGCTAGTGGCTGCGAGCGAGAAGTATCGCATAAAACCTTAGGTTCCGCGAGAAACCTTCTCGCTTATTCCAAGAGCCTCCACGTGTTGTGGATAATCCGCCGACCGCCGATCAGGT